ATAAAGAAAAAAAGTTCTTATAGCCTAAATTTTGAGGTTTAGAAAAGTATATTTGACACACTGTACACATTCTATATAGGTACGTAAGTGAAATGGATATAATTTTAAACCTTTTTTTTAAATTTCCTGTTTATCCCTAAAGTGAACTTTCCCGATTATTTACACTTTCATGGAAAGGTTGAAATGGTTCACCGAAAAACCATGCCTCGCCCTACAACGGTAAATGAAGCAGAAGATACCATTGATGTTCAATAACTTGAATCAAATCTTTTAAAAAAGAATGTTATATAAACTCTATTAAAAGATCTTATTGTAAAATGGTTTTCTTATTTTTGTCTTTTATATTTAGTTGATATGACACAAGTGTGCATGGAAAAAACGGTGGTTACGTATTAGATTTACTTTATACATCGATATTGTTTCTTTTAAAAACTATTTCTTATGACATTGACTAAAGATCTGTACTTCTGCGATGCGAAGCATAAGATAGCAGGTATTGTATTTCATTTGCATATTTAGTATTTTCTTTGTCTACTTTGAGAAACAAACAAAATCAATTATAGAGGACGTTTGAGAAGACCTTTGAGAAAGGCAGGCTACTATTCATAATCTGGCGCCAAACGCCACGAGTAAATATTCGTGCCTTTTCTTTGGACTGATCTATTTAATAGGTGTGATAGCTTCAATGAAATTAAATAAATAAAACAACTTCTTATCGCCTTTATTTTTTTCAACATTAAGAAAGTATATTTAACACATTGTACACAATACATAACGTATCTAGCCCAGTTACACTAAAGCAGTGAAACGGAAATTAAGTTTTAAGATTACATTGAATTGCAACGTACTTCTACGTGAAAGTCCAGGTAGTTTTTTACATTTCATGTATCCTTATGTCAAAATGGTTTAATCAAACGCTCAGCTGCCTCCATAAACCCCTACTCGCGAAATGGCAGAGTTGACAGAGACAGCCGCCATCTTGGTCCCGCTTCAGATTTTCAAATGTTAATATCTAGAGTTCAGACAAACCAATATCCAAACAACTTATATAGTAAGCATCAATAGAAAGGTCTCTATTACCATTCCAAAAATAAATAAAAAATATTGGAAAACAAAAAAGTTAGAAAATACAATTTTTTCAATTCGCTTCTCCTAACGACAGGAAGTAATGACGACGAACAAAAGGTTGCGTCCTGGATAGTATCTATCATGATCTTTAATCCCTGAAAGTTTCACATTGATATCTTTTACCGTTCTTAAGTTTAACCGTGGACAAAATGTCATTTTAATTTCAGAAAATGGTCCATAACTTGGCACCAGAATGGAATTTTCAAAAAATCGCTCAGATAGATCAAGTTCATGTTACGACACATTTTTTCTGAAAAATTCATATAATTCCACCCAGTAGTCTTCGAGAAATCGCGTGCACAAAATTAGAAAGTCAAAAAAATAATAAGAATAATAATAAGAAGAAGAAACAGTAGAATCACTATAAGGTCTTCCGTGAAGACGGAAGACCTTAATAATAATAATAAGAAACAGTACAATAACTATAAGGTCTTCCGTGAAGACGGAAGACCTTAATAATAATAATAATAAGAAAAAGAGTAAAAACAATATGTTCCCCAACTTCGTTTGGGGAACATAAATATCAGGGAAGTTCTAGAATGCAGGGTGATTAAACATATCAAATATTTAAAAAAAAAAAAAAATCTACCCCCCTTTGACCCCCCGGGCAAAATGAAAATTCCGAAACCTTACTGCATATCTATATGACAACACCAACTATCTCTTAAAAGATAATTAGGCTACTGAGTCAAATGTAAGAGGAGTTCAGGGAAGACAGGGCTTCTTGCATAAAAAACGTCATTTTTCGACTCTCATTCGACCCCCTGGGGCAAAATCAACATTCCAAAACCTTACTGCACATCTACATGACACCATCAAACATCTCCAAAAAGATGATTAGGCTACTGTGTAAAATGTAAGAAGAGTTCAGGGAAGACGGGGCTTTTTGCATAAAAAAACGTCATTTTCGACCCCCATTTGATCCCCTAGAGCAAATTCAACATTCCGAAACCTTACTGCACATCTACATGACCCCACCAACCATCTCCCAAAGATGATTAGACTACTGTGTAAAATGTAAGAAGAGTTCATGGAAGACAGGGCTTTTTGCATAAAAAACGTCATTTTTTTACCCCAAAGTGTGACAGACGGACGGACATGAGTAACAAAAATATACCTGAACTTTCTTTAGAAAGTGCGGGTATAAAGAACATGAAGAAGAAAAAGAAAAATATGATACCTTTAAATTATAAATTTTATTACAATTACTAATAAACTGATAATTATTTTTTCCGACATTATTATTGTACACTAAATGAAATTTATTTCAGGGAAAAAATTGTTAACATATTAGCATAAGCATGTCAAGATTGTTTTTATCTTCCAACATTTTTTTCTAGCTTTACTGGTCAGTGGCCAGAAAAGCTTATGCTGTAGTAAGGTAACGTCATCCGTCTATCTGTGTGTCCGTCCATGTGTATGTCCGTAATCCATTTTTCCAAACTTTATTCTTCATACCATTTTGACTTTATATCCAAACCCATTGTTTAATACAAAGTTGTTGGTACACAGGTACACTTCATGGATACGAAAATACATATTTCTGTGTATAGGTTTTCGATTATTACCAGCGGCGTTGCAAGTTCACTAAGATAGAATTTTCTGTAAACTTCTTTCAAAACGCCATTCTTACAATCCACTAGAACTTTGACTCAAGGATCTTTTTCATTTTCTAACAAAGAAGAAATATTTTGGGCACAATCAAAACATTAGATAATCAGAAGTCTCTGTCAAGACTGTAGCTCTACTGATTTGTACTTATAACAAAGGATGAGAAAAATAGCCATTGCCATCAGACCAAAACTGTTGAAGGGGTAGAGTTTTAGAAGGAATTTCACAGACATTTCTATTTTTAGTAACAATGGCAACACTGTTCATCGAAATCAAAAACAGATGCATTATTTCATGTATCTTAGTGTAGTCTACTTGTGTGCCAAGTTATATTGAAATCAGACCAAAACTATAGAAGGAGTAGCGTTTTAAAGGATTTCACAGAAATTCTATTTTTAGTAACCATGGCAACACTGTTCATCGAAATAAAAAACCAATGCAAAATTCTATTTTTAGTAACCATGGCAACACTGTTCATCGAAATCAAATACCAATGCATTATTTCATGTATCTTATACCCCATTCATACGACATGATTTGCATACCTCAGTATAATTTACTCATATGTAAATTTACTCACATTTGCATTTTTTGTCGTATGAACTGATTTGCTTATATGTAATTTCTGCACAGTTGAGTAAATTTACACCTGGTCAGGACTAGGTGCAAATTAACTTTTGCAAACATGTTGTAGCAAATTATCAGTTCTTGTGTGTAAATTTTGTCGAATGAACACGCAGCAAATTTACTTATGTATGTATTTTGTTTTGTTTATCGCATAAATCTCCAGTGTAAGTGTTGTTTCGGTTGTTTATGCATTGTAAAGTGTATAACATCAGTTTGGTAACATGACGGCTAGAAAGCAAAAGGAAAACTTGGATTTTTATGGTCATTTTTGCTGTACTTCAAGGACAGCTGAAAGTTTTGATAAGGGTAATGCTTTAAAGTCTTTAAAGGATACGCCGGGCTGCACTAGCATAGTTCTTTCCACAAATGGCCTTTTCAACTCTGAAAACAAGGATCCACACCATATCTCCAGTCTCCTCTGAGATAAATTTGAAATTGCAAAAACGTGCGCATCTTGCACCCTTTCTGGCAAACCTATGATTATTCCTCTGAATTATAAAAATATAGCTGTGCTCGCGCAAAAACTGCCCTGCAGGATCAATAAGTAGTCCCGTTACAATTCAAGTAGTCTTCATGGGAATGCTCCGCAGCTGCAATAGGAATAGGCATAGCATCAATCGCCCGGGTCCCATTACAGATTAACTGTCTTATATCTTTCTTTATATTTAAACCAAGACAAGCTACTGACATATAAATTGGTGTTACAGGAATTTCAACAACACTGTTGAAAAAAGGCACTTTAGTTATTTTCCTTGGCACCCGATCCCACCATGAATTTCTAGGGGATTCGTGTTTATTTCCTTTTCACATATTTCTTTTGTTTGATTTTTTAAAAAATCGATTGCCCATTTCATTCTCCTGGAAAATACATGTAATATTCAAGCAGATACTTCATAATGAACTCGCAAACTTGATGAACCTATAGATTTCCAAACACCAAAAAGATTTCCAGTCGTCCTGTATTCTTCTGAAGACGCCAACCAGTAGTTAACCATCTTTTTCTTAACACCCAACGGCTCTTCTAGATCTATAGTCTTTAGAACCGACGCTAAACCATTTTACAACTTTAAACAATGATTTTAATTAATTTTTCTTTTTCCCCCGTGGGGATCCGGGTTAGAATAGGTCCTCAGTACCCCCTTGCTTGTCGTAAAAGGCGACTAAATGGGGCGGTCCTTCGGATGAGACCGTATAAACCGAGGCCCCGTGTCACAGCAGGTGTGGCAAGATAAAGATCCCTCCCTGCTCAAAGGCCGTAAGTGCCTAAATGTTATAAAGTTCGCTTTTATCCGTACTAGAAAACAAATGGATCGGATTTGTCCCTACTTTCTTTGAAGAACATTCAAAAGTTAGTCGTATAAGAGATTTCAAAAAAATTGCGTCATTATTTTCCATTAAAATTCTGGAAAAAAAAGGTCATATCAACTGGATCATGATTACCCCTTTCACTGTATTACATTGAATTCATGCGTACTGTTAAAAAAATCTATGAAATATTAAAAGTTATACCAGTATGTAATAAAATTAAAATTTCGGAATACAATTAAACCAAAAACAAACGTTTGCATTTATTAGCTCTGGTTATCTTTGCAATATCTATTCATTATATTTAAGTATTAGGTGATTTTAGTTGAGTATACACATTTTTCCTAAATGTTATTAAGTTCGCTTTTATCCGTACCAGAAAACAAATGGATCGGATTTGTCCCTACTTTCTTTGAGGAACATTCAAAAGTTAGTCGTATTATACCCAAAGAGTAAGAAAATAACCTTTCTCTATAAAAATCCACAATTCTGAATCTATGGATCTCCTTATTTTATATGAAAATACAAGGATTTACTTACAGTACACAAATCTCGTCTGAACGCATAGCAAATTAACTTTTACTTACGTGTGTATATTTACTCATATGTAAATTTGCACACATAAGCAAATTTTCGTCGTATGAATGGGGTATTAGTGTAATCTACTTGTGTGCCAAGTTATACTGAAATCAGAACAAAACTGCAGAAGGAGTAGCGTTTTAAAGGATTTCAAAGACATTTCTATGTTTAGTAACCAAGGCAACACCATTCATCGAAATCACAATCCGATGCACTATTTAATGTATCTTAGTGTAGTCTACTTGTGTGCCAAGTTATATTGAAATCAGACCAAAACTCTAGAAGGAGTAGCGTTTTAAAGGAATTCACAGACATTTCAATTTTTAGTAACCATGGCAACACCGTTCATCGAAATCAAAATCCGATGCACTATTTTATGTATCTAAGTGTAGTCTACTTGTGTGCCAAGTTATATTGAAATCAGACCAAAACTCTAGAATGAGCAGCGTTTTAAAGGAATTTCACCGAAAATTTTATTTTTAGTAACCATGGCAACATCGTTCATCGAAATCAAAAACCGATGCACTATTTTATGTATCTTAGTGTAGTCTACTTGTGTGCCAAGTAATAATGAAATCAGACCAAAACTGTAGAAGGAGTAGCGTTTTAAAGGAATTTCACAGAAAATTCTATTTTTAGTAACCATGGCAACACTGTTCATCGAAATCAAAAACAGATGCACTACTTTATGTATCTTAGTGTAGTCTACTTGTTTGCAAAGTTATATTGAAATCAGACTAAAACTGTAGGAGGAGTAGCGTTTTGAAAAATTGTTTACAGACAGACGAACAGACAGATGGACGGACGACGGACACCTTACTATCGCATAAGCTCTTCTGGTCTCTGACCAGTAGAGCTAAAAAGTAATGTAGAACTAAGCCAGTTAGTTTTGCAAGCTCAACTGGATTCAACGTAAAATGGATCATTATTTCTATTCATTACAAAGGCTGAATTTTTTCCTAATTTTGAAACATTATTTTTATCCAATTAAGACTCGATTTAAAATGTCTTGAAAGTTCATTTACAGTAATATTAAAAGGTTTAATGAGACTTCATGAATATTGGTGTTTCCTTTTTTTTTTTTTTTTTACAGATAAATATGCAAAACAAAACTGGAAAGAATCAATGAATTGGTGCAAAACATGGTCCGTGCCAACATACTTATATGGAAATATATCATTAATCAACGCCTCCCTTGCATGCCGAGCGTTGTTTAGAACAAGAGATGGTTCATCATGGCTTGGCATTGCAAAGGAAGTTTATATTGGATATGATAGAGGTAAACAGTTGTGTTTATTTAAATCTACTACGCGAGATAAATTATCAATTTAACATTTAAGCACAGAGAAAGCATTTCTTTATCCAAAAAGTACGAAACTGATTTGATAAAAGTTCCTACCAAAATATATGTAGCACTTTTTTTTCCATAAAAGAGATCAAATATAACTTATAACACTTTATTACAGATACAGACCCGTTCATTCAGTGGGAGGAAAGTAGTTAAAAATATGCATGTTACATACCTACACGTTCCAATATTTGTGGATACAGTGTATATGGCAGTCTTTGATTAATAAAAGCATTTTTAAAACACATAGGGTGAGTTAACCATTCATCGGACACATACCTTGCTTCGGACAACTTTAGGCAATAAACTCTCTTTCAACTTATGAGTTCCATGTATTTATTTGTTTCTGTCTTGAAGCTGAAGATTTAAATTTTTGGATAATGCCAATTGTTATTATCATGCTGTGATAAAAATACCCCGAGAATGGCATTGAAGTTACGTCATATTTTACATCACCAAAGGGAGGTAACCAGAAATTTATGATTTTGCAATTTTTAGAGTTATCGTTCTTTATATTCGACTTCGACGGAACGAGTCGGACTTTGGTGAATTTTGTCAATGATTGGTAATTTTGCATAAATAATAAAGAAATTTCATTTTAATGTTTGTTTAATCCTAATTAGAGCTGGTTTTTAATAGTATGCTCATTTCACCGTACATCGGACACAAATTAACTATGCATCGGACACTTTCCGATTCATAGGTAATGACTACCATTTTCATACAGAACCCAACTAACAGCTGTTTTTTGAGGAAATAGAAAATAAAAACTCTACATTTTCAGTCAAAATACACATTAGTGATATATAACGTCTAGAATTTGATTTAATTCATTTCTACAAACCAGAGTATTTTAACTTGTGAGGAAATAGCGCGAATTACCGCATTACAAGCATTTTAACATGTTTAAAGCCTTTCTAAGGCAAAGTAAGGCATATTGCATCTTTCCATATTTGTAAAATGATATCGTCAATTAAATGTAAGCGAACGTTTAATTTTTAAATAAAAAATACAAGTATATTCATATCAATAATTATAAAGCACTGTGATCAAGGTACGACATTTTCCCGGTTCAAATAAGATTTGTACGATGCATGGTAAATGATGTCCGATCCATGGTGAATTCCGAGTCATTTTTTAAAAATAGGTTTTTAATGATATTTTCTCAAATAAAAGCAAATATAGGTGTCCCAAATTTATATTTTATTCACAGACTAAATGTTAAGTTCCATTTTGATAATGTTCCGTCGGTATCGATATCGCTATAACTTGTTGAATTACAACGGCGTCCGATGCATGGTGAATTCACCCTACTTTGAAGATCAGAAAAAATAAACATAAGTCATTATTGATTTTTCGATCAGTTTTTAAGAATTAAATTGAGACAAAAAACATAGGTAATATTTCATGCAAAGGTTGAACTTAATTTTTAATTCCGTCAATGAGTTTGAGACAATGTATTTCAAATATTGTGCCACAAAACTGTAACGTTTTATGGTAATTATCCTTACCTGAAAGATTTCTTTTTTGAAGGTCATTCTTTTTCACAATGTATATTAAAATAATAATTTAATAACTATTTATCATTCTTTTTATTTCATGATGTGATTAATCGAGTGGCTTGTGTGATAATTTGAATAAACGCCTTCATAAAATTATCCCGCACACAAGTCGATTGATCAGCGTCATGAAATCAAAGAATCTGACGGTTATTCCGTATTTATTTTCATTTCTATTTTTTCTTTGATAACTCTTAACTTTGAAAGTTGGCAGAGTTGATTTCTTGATAATTCAACCGGAATGTAAATTAAACAGGTCGATAGGTCTGGAGCTAAGGAGGTCTAATATGCATGCAAATCTCGTACGAATCTGTCTTTGTGTCTGACGCTAAGGAGATCAAATATGCATGTAAATCTCGTGCGGCTGCCTTTTTGTTTGACGTCAGTGGGCGAGATCTATTGAAATTGGCATGGGAGTTCTCGTGTAATTTAAATCAATATCCTTTTTTTAAAAAATCTAAATCTACAGTTTTATTTTCACAGTGAAATGGAAATATAAGGAATCACTGGCTAGTTAGTATTGTATACCAGGGACATCAATGATAGTGGGAAACATGGGATAATTTATGCATAACGGACTTCACCCGTTATGCAAATTGTACCATGTTTTCCACTATCATTGATGCCCTGGCATACTATACCAACTAAACAGTGATTCCTTAAATATACATGCTCTTGATTCCACCAAACCACGTCCTTCAAGCCCCGCTTCCCTCACTATTTGTCCCGCCCCGCACATGATTTTTTTAACTGCGACTATCGATGAACCAATTTATGCGTGTATTTGTAAAAAGTAAAGTATATTAACTATTTGTAATTTTATCTCGAACAAAGACATGAGAAACAAATATATTTGTGATAGAGAACTCAAATACACGTAGTTTTTACCAACCCCACTTTAATACGCTTTCTGACCTAATATTTTTAAAATTTATGATCAATATATTATATTTTATTTGATATATTCTATCTGGTTATTCAATTACCACTTCTGTGTTCTGCAGTCTGAATATATACATTTATTAGTTGAACTCCTTACTAATACATGTAATTAATTCTCCTTAGAATTAATTATTCCCTATCTAGCTTGAAACACGAGCTTTGATTGGTTACAAAATCGGGTGTAAATTACCGTGCACCCGACTTGAGCCGGGGGTAAATAAAACGTGAGGTCACAATGCACACATTCTCTATGATAAAAGCCAAATAACATGACGTCACGATGCATTGTAGTAAGTAGTTTTCTTATCGATAGATTGAGACACACTTTGATGTTTACAAAGCATTTTTATGGGTACAAAGGAAATAATTTCGTTATCCAGGTCCAATCAAGGGTGTACGGGGATTTACCCCGGGTTGTATTCCATACACCCTTCGGCCTGCGGCCTCAGGGTGTATGGAATAAAACCCGGGGTAAATCCCCGTACACCCTTGATTTGAACCTGGATAACTAATATTGTCCAGGTGTTGTTCTTGACGCCGAACACAGACGGACCTTCCTGCAATGTCAGAAATGTAACCACACTGGTTGTGTATTTGTCGATTGTTTCAACAAACTGAGTTATGTTCTCTGCCAAAAGGTAAATGTTTATTGTTCATATGTTTGATACTGTAAAATCACATATTTTCATAGCTAGGGTCAATTTTCATATTTTGTGGAAAAACTATTTGTTTCTTGGGAAATAAATTTCATGGATGGAGAAAATTGCTCAGTAGTAATATATACGTGAAAAATACGTTTATTAATAAGTTGGACGTACATAAACTCATGCATCTCTTTATACCTCGATATCAATGCCCCCTCCCCCCGCCCCTTGCAAAATATTGATTTCATACTAATAGATCATAAATTTTGATTCGCATTGTATATTTCTTTCTTTTTGAGTTTCACAAAAGGTAACCTATGGATATTTTGAGTTGCAGACGTATTCTACAGTGCATTATAATTTAGATTTATTAAATGCAACTTATAAAATGCTTCCTTTCCTTTCGTAGTTCGGTTTTAAATCTATATTGTATAATCACTCAAGAAGTGTTTTATTCATAAAATGATACCATTTTAGATTATCCTTTTAATTTGTACATTGGGTTTGTCTGATTGCTCGATTGAAAAAAGAAGAAGCATAAATCTAAGGAGAGCAAAAAAAAAATCCCTGTAATCATTCTTTCACGCTAAAAAGGTGCAATTCAGTTGCAGTTAAAGTGCTGGTCTGGGGTATAAATAGCAGCCAATGAGAAAAATGGAGGAAATTTCAACTTTCTTGCCACTCTTCACTTCGCAGGAGATTTTTTTAAAATTATATCTATACCGTCAATATACACCTTCCGAAAGTTGTTGAGTCATCTAACTAAGTTATCAGATGTGTTTGGGTGATTAAAATACAGTGTAAAAAAATTAATACAGTCTATAATATTCATTTAAGATTCTAAGGCGATCGAAATTTCAAATTTCTTTGGAGTTTGATGGACAGCTGCTGAATGTTTACATTTACACCGGAAATGCTCGTCGCTATTGACGCATGCTAAAATGGCCGCCATATTCTTACCTCAAAAGAAAGACAAAGATACTCCGAAAATAATCCTCAATACGTTTTATTATCCTTTCCTCGAGTAATAAATTAGAATCAAAGCCCGTGATTAGATCATAGAGAGTGTAAACAATTATCACTTTGGGTCAGTCATGCTGTTTCAGTCACTTAGTGAAGCATCACATCGGCGAGATAACAAGGATTATCAGCGTGAACACGTGTCTGTAGCTGCCAGAAGGTTAGACCCAGTAAACAATCAAAAAAAAAAAATGGAAAACAAAATAAAAGAAAATATCACAATTATTAGTCACACTATTAAAAAAGAAATCTTGGACATTTTTTTCTTTTAGTTCCAACGATGCCCCATGTATGGCTTATTTTTTGGATTAGGAAACCAATACCTTACAAGTTCTAATACACATTTGGGTAAAATATCTCGACGATGGCACACAGTGTTTCGTAATCTTGGATCGTTGAGTAAAGCAGATCTTTTCCTAGCTATATATCTCTCATCCAAAAACACACCTCTATGGAAAAGCATAGTCCAAAAGAATTTATACCTTTCTTTTCTAAGGGAACTGTTCCGTGTGTTTGGTGGCACAGGTTCCGATGCCCACCACATTTGTATATTTCGTTCATGAGTTATGCATGGTTTACATAAACAATTTTGACATTCTTCACAGTCTTCATTTTGCGGGATGTTGTATGTCCTTTCAAAGTTCACGCCATCATCCTCATTGTTATCAGTTTCTCCATTCATCTCATCTAAATCCCAGTTATTAAAATTAAAGAATTGTATAATGGCTTCCCTTTGTTCTGAATTTACTCTCAATGAAATAACACTTTTCTCTTCTTGTTCCTCCATTTTGCTAAATTGAGACCGCGTTTTGTTTTGGAGGGAAGTTTTGCAAGGGAGAGGTCTATTAGGGGACTCAGGATTTCATTTAATTTACTATAATTAAATATAATTCCTTATTTATTGATAAAACTGGAAATAATAAAAGTAGATGACGAATTCAATAAATTATACATATGTATATATTTGGGATACTGCTTGTATTTCTCTCATGCATATGTTTTATGGATGTTCCCCACTGAGCCTTCTTATCCTGCTCTGTATCACAGCTAGGCTGATTTATTGACATTTGGCGGGAGGTCCCTCCATGTGTCTGTGGAAGTTGGTCAATTCCATCTGAAACCTAAACAGGGGTAGTGGGGGCAACCACATTGTTATTATTCTGTCATTAATGTAAATAAAACTATTCCCACAAAATTTATAAAATCTTTTTTTTTAAATTAGTAAAGTGCTAATAAATTTTAAAAGCGTTAATTATTATTCACAAAATTGTCAATGTTTTCTTTATTAGATAACAACTTGTTAAAAAATGGTACAGTCCACTGAAATATGACCCCCTTTAGTATAGATAATATATATATATTATATATTAACATACAAGCAGGAGTAATTCAAAGAATAAGCGTCATTAACTAAGCTTTATTATTACTGGGAAACTATATCATGGCTGAAAACAAACGAAAGCGTCCTCCAACTTTTAAGTTAGAAATACCAGCTAATGAAGACAAGAAAATTAATATTATGCAAAGTCTTCAGGAAGTCAGGGAAATGTTAGTCAAACAACTGGGTAGACCTGTCAACAATGCCGACATCATTGAAAATTTGCTGTCTACCTGGAAGAAGTCAGTAGCCAACGACGATCATCCCAAAACACCTGGAACTTATATTAATGTTAAGAAAAGTCAGGTGAACCAGGACTTCTTTGTGACATCGCTGCCTTCTGTGAAAAAACTCATGGATGTAGCTGCTGTACATGGGAAACACTGTGGAGGAAAATTGGAGGTAAAAAAGGCAGCAAAACGGGGACACGTCACTTCTTTGAAACTGTGTTGTTCGAGAACCGATCGTCCTAAACACAGGTATATTTGGGCATCTTCACCATACCTTCCGAACGGAAAGTATCTTATCAATGAAAGAATTAATCATGCTTTCTTGTGTAGTGGTATGCTGCCATCCTGTTATTCTAGATTTTGCAGAGAAGCAGGAATCGGTGTTCTTTCTGTAGAAAAACGGAATTCGTTTTTTAAAATGTACAAGACATTTGTCCAGCAAGAGTACGAAGACTCTATTCACACCGCTTTACTAGAGGAAGTGGGACTATATGACAATTTAGACGGAATTGACATCATTACTGACGCACGGCATGGGTGGCGGAAAAATGCCCAGGACACCAGTGTGGTGGCAATAGGAGAAAAAACGCATAAAGTTCTCAACTGTGTGCATGTTGCGACCACTGATGATCCAGTTACCCAGAGACATGAAAAAATTGGAACTGAAAAAATTTACGAGGATCTTGACAGCAAACAAGTTTCTGTCAACGTCCACACGCATGACAGAAATATGTCAATTAACAAACTAGTCAGGCATACTACCCATAGTCCTCTGCGTCTCCGCACACAGAGAAGTTTGACTAGTCAGAGAACGCGAAAATGGATTTACCTGCAACCAAAACGACATTTGGCATGGCATAAAAAATATTAAGAAGGCCATGTCCACCATTTCAAGTGGACCACGGTACAGAGAAGGTAAAACGTGGTCCGAGGAGCTTTACGACAAACCAGATGCCGTTTCTACACATTTCTACTGGGCCATCAAACACTGTGGTGGAGACTCAGGTACGCTCAGAGAAATGTTGGACAACATCTTAGATCACTACAAAAACAACCATGAAAGATGTCATTCTTCCTCAAGATGTAAAGTGGATCCAAACTACGAATCTTCCCGAGTGGTGATTCAAAATCCTGTTGCAGAAAAACTATTAAAAGGTGTTATAATCAATTCAGTGATCTATAAAAATCCGGATGATTTTCGATTAGGACGTGATACTTATTTTGTTGAGAGTTTTAATAACACTTTAAATATATATGAGGATAAAAGAATTGCTTTTGGAAGTGAACAGTATAAAGTGCGAGCATTCCTTGGTACGTGTCACTGGAATGAAAATGTGGGTAGAGACATTACTTCTATCACTTACACACGTAATCCTAAAACCCCACGTAAGCAACTTGGAAAAAAGAACTATAAAAAACAAAAATTTCAGTTCAGGAAAAACATTTGGTTGCGTTATATAAAACATGTTTTTTCTAAACGTAGAAATAATTAAAATATCTATGTATTTGCACAATCTTTGTTGTCTTATTTTAAGCACGTGTAAGTGGCAAGCTGCTATCTATTAATAGCATAACTCTGCAGTCTTATCAGATGCGAGGTGTGGCCAGCTCCCTAATATGCTTAATTGCTGTCCGTGTGGATATTTATCTAGGTCAGATCCGGCCTTTAATATACAACATATTACAGAGGTTTAGTTACGTAACAACGTGTACGCGAAACTTTGACGTACACGGTATATTTGACTTCAACGTTAATAATTTGATTAGGTTATACGCACTGTTCGTATGCAAATTTCGTGATTGAAGAGTAAAAAAAATGAAATAAAATAAATTAATTGAACTGCACTGTGTTTATTTTTTTTTCTAATTTAAACAAATCAAAGGAGAATTGGAATTCAAACTAATTCTAGTCACAGATATCATAAACAATGAAAAATCATTATACTTATTGTCATCTCCCTGCAGAGGAGCGCTTTAATATTCTCTTTAATAGTACCTCTACAGGACAGTTAGGCTTTTAATTCTGCATCACTTCAAAAATGGAAGCAGTTATAAAGATACTGCATTGACGACAAAAAAGACAACATTTTGCACTTGTGAAGTAGGGAGATCCCAACAGAAAACGTTTTGAAAACGATAAAATTTAAGGGTTCAAATATTAAATTGTCTAGAAAGGAGGCAAAAATAATATTTTTAAATACATCAATACATTGTTAAAACCAAAATACTAGTCATTCCCCCCTTTTTTTGATTCGCTTTTGCTATAGATCTTTGCACGTGCAAAAGGAAAAAAAATATTAATGAAATAAAATCTCCACAAGCACTTGAAAATACACATAAATGTACTACCTATAACTTATTAGGTTAGGGGTTATAGTTTTTGTTATGTCACTAGTGTCTGTTGTGTTATTTTATAGAAAATATTTTATTTGAAAAAAAAATAATTAAAGAATATTGAGGTGTTAAAATAAGTTTTAATAAAAATTAATATTAAAGGAAAAAAATACCGCCAAGAATTTTTATTTGGTGCATTGGCGGAGTCTTCTTCAAATGAATTCTGCATGCAAAATAAACAAGCTGCTTAATTGGTATTAGTTTTCATTCATAAAAATGCTAATAATTTGATGGAATCATCGAATCATCATTCATTAGAAAATTTTAGATAAGCCTTCTATTTTCACTGCATAAAAATCAGTCAACTGAATTAAGAAATAAAGAATTTAATCTTTAACTTTACTCGTTTATGCCGTACGTGTAGACGGTGTATTACACGTTAAACTTGTAGCTACACGTCGGATTTGACGTCATGATGTCGAAAAACACAACAATGGATGACGTCACGCGTACAAGTTTGACGTAAAACGTGTAACTAAACCTCTCTATTATTGGTAATTATGTGTCTTTGTAGAGACATGTATCCCAATGATATATTTACCAGAATTGTGCATGATTTTTAGTGCCTCTAACCAAAGTTTTGATCCTATGTTTAACATGACGATAGCAATAAAGGACACCGTGGCTTTACTTTAGGGTGGGTCTTAAAGAATGCAATAGAAGTCTAACTGTACAAGATGTCTTTAAACGTATATTTTTGGATCAGATTTGCTGACACGTTTATTCTGGATTAGACTTCTTGAGACTTATATGAGTATATTCTGATATTACTGTTTCTTACAGACCTCATTAGTTGAAACCATCACTGTTGATTATGCTACAAATGGAATTTCCGATCTCACCATTCCTACAGGTATATACACTTGCACTTCATACCATCACTTATAAAATGAATACTTGTGATATAATATGAAGACATACAAAACATATCTTTGAAAACGTTCGTTTGCATCTTAATTCTAAACAAAAATCACTCTGTAATTAAGAAAAAAACTTTTACGATCGAAAGTTCCTACAACTTTTTCAATCAAATGTTTTATAAATATCTTATCAAGAGGCTTTTGGAATTAGGTAGAATAACAGAGAATTATTTCTCTGAAATTATTCCAATCAATGGCATGATTAGCTGAAGTCCTTATTAGCCTCTCAGAAAGTAACGTGCATGTTTCACGTTTGTCTATTTAGAAACATCATACCGACCTAGAGGGCAATTTATCCGGGTGTCATCATTTTTAAATACAAAAATATTCTTTGTATAGTTTAAAAGATAAAAATATTTCTTGTGCTCATTTTTTAAGAGGTGTTGATCCTATTAATATTTATTTTGTCATGACATGGACTAA